TATGTTATAATGACTAATGAAACACACGCAAAACAACAGCAAGTTTCTCATTTAATCTATAAGTCTTGTTTACGTAGTAAAAATGCAAATGATTTTGCCGCGTTTTTAGAGGTCGCAATGGTTTCTTTGAAGGCCAGGTGATGTGTGGGTGATTGTGTGCCAGGTGTAGGTAAGAAGCCTCGCACGTGAGTAGACTTTGTTTCAAGGCTGAAAAATGTAAATATTTCTCGTTAACAGAAGCCCCCCGTATGTCTATAGCGACTCATTCGTTAATTCACTGGCGTCGAGCTGAGTCCAACAGTCGCGTCGCTTTTGGTCAAGGGTTGCCAAAGTAGGTGGCTGGTTCCTAATGTCTAGGGAAATGAACGTGTTCGAAGAAGTATAAAACGCCTTGAAGTCGTTGTCGCAAGGATGAGTGTACGGAACGGAGTGGTCTACCTGGCAGTCTTGTTAGTTCATATCTTGGCTATAGTTCACACTGGTTAGTTGAAACTGAAAACCTGGAAACCACATACATGTATACGTACAAACGAACGTGTTCATACTAACACTACCCCACAGTTTTGAGGTCTGGCCGAGGCCTTCAATAGCTATTCTATCAGATTGTTAAGGTGTACCCCCTAGAAATGTAATTTTAGGACCAATAGTTACCCAAACTGTGTGTCGGGCATTTCAAATGTTAAATTAATTTTCCTTCCACAGAAAACGCTAGTATAGAACTGACGTGTTTTTCGGCCTTAATGAATAAAGAAACACACCAGAAATAACAACATAGTCTACAAGTCTTGCGTACTTAATAAAAATGCAAATGTTTTGCCGTGTTTTAGAGGTCACGATGTTTTCCTTGAAGACCATGAGATGTGTGGGTGATTGTGTGACATGCATGATTAAGAAGCCTCGCACGTGAGTAGACTTTGTCTCCAAGAGAAAACAAAGCCATCTCATAGCCGAAAAATGTAAATATTTCTCGTCAAGAGAAGCCCCCTTATATAGGTCTTTAGTACAACTTCAGAGCTGTGCAAAGAGTTTCCAGCAATCTGATTGGTCGAGCGGTTCCTTTTATGACGCTATATAAACCGCTCCACGCGGTTTATATAAAATGTTAAAATAAAATGTTAATAAATGTTATGACTTTAGAAACTTCTCTGTTGTTCAGCTCTGAAATTATACTAAAACAATTCGCCTCAGGTTCGGTGAATATTGTCGAATAATCCCCTCGTCTTCGTCTCGGGGATTATTCCACGATATTCACCGAACCTGAGGCGAATAATTGTTAAATAGCAACTCATTCATGTTTCAGTAAGGGTGACTCTCATGAACAAAACTCCCAAGAAGATGATTAGGAAGGGCAGGCCGGTCAAGGATCCACCGCGGAACGACGTTTGTCATGGCTGTGCTTTTAATTTGTTCTCAGAGAAAAAAAGATCAGTGCAAAAAAATTGATATTAGCGCGTGTTGCGATGACGTTAAGATTGTTGATAATTAATTGGATTCAAATTTGAATCCACTCCGCCGTGCAAGGTCAAACTCTTGGGCTTAGTCCGTACGTAGTCCCTACTTTTTGGGCACCTCACTCTTAGAGCACTTGCAGCGCATCGACGTCACTCCAAGATTTCAATCAAGATGACTGGATATTAGCTATAGCGTCACATCGGTGCCAAAATTCAACATTGCGATCTGACATTGTACTTTTAGTATTCTTCCTTATTTCGCGATTGGACATTCAAGGTTTTATTCCTTATGAAACTTTTTCCGATTCAACATTGTCTTTTTTACAATTAAACTTCCAAGTTTCAAGTATTAAACTATTGTGGCAATGCAATATTTTTGTACTTATGGTATTGATATATTCAACATGCAGTACTTCGCGCTATTCAACATTCAACTTTCCATCATCCAACCGCAACCCAGCTATAAACGAAGGAGCGCAGGCTCACTAAGTTCAAGTATCTCATGTAGGCCTCATAACTTCGTACGAGGTTATCTTGTGAGATGAAAAGTGGATGATAACTCGTATTTGCTGGACTGTGTTCATAATATTCTAGACATTTTAAATGATGTCCAAGGCGTACATAACAGTCATGGAAATGTTCAGCTTCTTGTTGGTAAAGTACATTATTTGCAAAGGATGTTGGTAAATCTAGACATCGATGATTTCATAACAGAAACCATGGGAAGAGCTCATAGTTTGCTGGTAGAAATCGAAAGAACTGAGAATTCTTATGGAGGTTATAGCGCTAGCGTGCAACAAGATGGTCACGGATGTGGACGACCCTCGTACGTAATAAGCAAAGAACAGCTCTCATATTTAATTGAACAAGGTTTTAAATTGCAAGAGATTGCAACTATGCTTGGAGTAAGTTGCAGAACATTATGAACACAGTCCTGCAAATACGAGGTATCGTCCATTTTTCATCTCACAAGATAACCTCGTACTAAGTTATGAGGCTTACATGAGGTACTTGACCTTAGTGAGCCTGCGCTCCTTTGTTAATAGCTGGGTTGCGGTTGGATGAATGGAATCGCAAAAAGTTTCATGAGGAATAAAAACTTGAATGTCCAATCGCGAAATAAGGAAGAATACTAAAAGTACAATGTCAAATCGCAATGTTCAATTTTGGCCCCAATGGGACGCCATAATTAGCCTCGTTCCATTTTCGCTTTTTTTATGGATCTCGACTTCGTCTCGATTCATAAAATCACCATAAAAAAAAAAGAACTCGGCCAATATCTAGCCATCTTAACCGAACACACCTAGTCAATAATGCAGAATAAGGCTAAAACCTATTTATATTTTAAGGCAGTACCTAAAGAATAATAACACTAAATGAAACAAAAAGTTCTTGTGTTTTCAGGTGTCTTTATTACATCTATAGCAACAGCTTGTTTTACATTATTCATTATTCAGCAAAGAACATTTCCCGCCGCCTTTGATACCGAAGTTGCCCATTACGATGCTGGCATTTGTTATGGGTTCGCTCTGGCTTGTCTGGTCCACCTAATATGTTCAATGATGCTATTGCAATGGTGATTACTAATGCTGATGATCAGTTGGCACTCAAGGCGTTATTCTATTCACGTGTCTTGTTTAACACTGTGATCACTGACCAGAGGGGCAAACTGGCCGCTACTATAGACCTAAACAGGAGACAAAGTATGTCAAATCAATACTTGAATATCTATGCGTTATTAACCAAGCGTGAGGTCAAGATGGCTGGATATTGGCCGAGTTCTCTTTTTGCATTTTTATGGACCGAGACGAAGTCGAGTTCCATAAAAATGCGAAAAAAGAACGAGGCTAATGTGGCGTGACACGCGTGACTGTAGTCATGTGATCAGAGTCACATAATCCGTCGTGCCACGCTGCACCACAGACTGATGTAACTCGAAAAACCCCAACTCGTCATTAAAAAGTCTTGTTGCAGTTTTTAACCCAGAGCTCTGTGGTCTAAATCGTCGTCACAACTCAACAGCTAATACATTTAAAGGGTCGGTTGATAAAGGATTTATTATATTGCGAAAAGATTTCACTTTACGAAGAATTAAGAATGACTTGTTTACTTCGAGAGCCAGGAAAGAAAGCTAACTGTGTTTGTCGCACAACAAACTCACGAGAGTCGTTTCTGTTTTCTTTGTTTTGACTGGCTGTCTTCTGCCGCTTTTTGCGTTTCCATCGCCAACATTGCTCAAAAGTTACGAACTTTGTAAGCCCGCTCCACACACTTCTTATCTTGCGCGGGAACAAAGCGGGTAATCCCGAGCAAGTACGATGAGCCCATTGGTGAGCCAATCGGAACACAGGATTCGCTTCAATTTGCCCACGGGCGCTGTCAGCTATGTAATAAATTTTATTAAAAGTACGTATGTAATAAAAATATTTAAGGTTTAAAAAGTTTGAAAATATATAAAAGGGCCCTGCAGAAAAACAATTATCCTTCCTAGCTGGCCGTTTTTGGGACGCTAGACTGGCAGAGGAGGAGCTGCTAAAAAAAAAACAAACAAACAAAAACGGCAGAACCACAAAGATTCTTCTACCTACTCCTGTCGCAGTTTTGCAGCTCGTGTCCAGCTCCCAAAACTTCCTCGAGGCAGCCAGCTACACAGGTCTTAAGCAAAAATAAATTACTTGGCTGTGACATTTTATGCGGGATGGTTGTAAGGGAAGAACTCGGTAAGAAGATGTTCAAAGCAGTTTCTTTTGTTCAAGTTATTTATCTGTTATTATAATTGTTAATCATTTTCATGGTTTAGATCTTAAACGCAAACGTACTTTTATAGAGAATCCCCTTATTTACTGGCAGAAATACTTAACGGAGTGTCTATCAAAATGCGATTAAAACTAGCCCAAACAGGACCTAAAAAAGAGACATCGTAAGTCATTGTAATGTATTACTTTAAAAAAGTGGTTATGACACAATTTTATTTGAAAATAAAAAAGTATTTCAATATTGAATTTCGTATCACCCTTGGTATTAAATGAGTTAAACGTTGTTTCCGTTTTTACTTTACCCGTGTACCATTTCTTAGAGTAGCACACTTTATTAATCATTTTACTAATACTTTGGAACTGAATAGCGACGGTATTAAGTATCATTATCTCTTTGTAATTGAAATTGCTATAATAATACGAGCCTAATTATAGAAATATGAAATAGTTACAGGTTCACAAGTTATAAATAAGCCGCTTTGTATATACTTGCATAAATAAAATAAACCTGTGCGAAACTGGGTGTTGCTGTTTGCGGCACAATCTCGGACGGACCCTCGTCTATTTCTCCTGAGGCCTGTATTGTAAGTTTTCGGTCGTTTAGAGATAGAAATATACCAGGTAACGGTAAGGGCATCTAGTTACACTGATGATTCCCTAGAATTAATTATAAGTGGATCAAGGATATCAGGCTTATATACTACGGTAGACACTTGGTATCGCTCTCAAGGGTGTTCTACCGCCTCTAAGTTACCCCCACGGTTTTGAGGTCTGGCCAAGGCCCTCAATAGCCCCTCTAACAGATTCTTGAGGTGTGCCAATTAGAAATATAATTTCAGGGACATTTGTTCCCTAGAGAAAGAAAAACTGAAAGTAACTTTTATCAAAAGTTATATTTTCACTCGATGCGTGAGCGGTGGGTATTCTACAAATCCTGCAATCTGATTGGATCAGAGAGCGGGCAGAATTCTCCCATCCATAACCGCTCAAAGCGGGTGGTTTCCTATCCGTTGTGTGTTGAGCAGCCTAGTACATCCCTACCTTCGTTGTAAATTTCCATAAATATATTGTTTTGCCGACCTTTAGCTTTAGCCGATAAATAACTTATTAATTATCTCTTCTTACTCTCTCAAATCATTCTGGTTTTTCCGAAAAAATTGATTTCGAATTGAATTTTGTGGTAGATTGGCACCCGGCCACAAAAAACGTTTGTGATTTGATAATCCATCTAAAAAGGTGACTCAGAAAGTTAAAACGAGAGGTATTTACAGTAAACAATTCTCCAAAACTTATGTAGACTTTGTGGGGTGCTGCGACGCCAGGTGAATAATACATGAAGTAATAGATATTTTCATCCGCTGTTCCTCGTGACACGTCACTGGATCGGCTACATTCGATACAGCCATTTTTGCCATTTTTACTAGACGTGAATTTGAACGACGATTTTTCCAAACTTTTTTAGAGTTTTAGTACCGTTTTCGCCAACATGTCTACGGCTGAACTACCTTGCTACACTTTGATTAATGTTCTTGGTGATTCAGAGGCACAGAGTGACCAAAAGCTCGCCGAGGATCTGGGTAAGTCGAACAAATCCAAAAGGTATTTTTGTTTCAAAATTGGTTGGACCACTAATATCTCTCTATTTTATTCTTCAGAAAAAGGCGATCTCAGGGTAAAAACAGATGCTCTCAAGAGAGTGATCCAACAAATTTTAAATGGGGAGAAAATGCCGTCCTTGTTGATGGTGATCATCAAGTTCCTGATGCCTCTTGATGAGCATACCATCAAAAAACTCCTTCTGATTTTCTGGGAGATTGTTCCCAAGACTGGCCAGGATGGTAAACTGTTACAGGAGATGATTCTGGTTTGTGATGCGTACAGAAAGGTACGAACGACAAAATGGGGCCATTTTATAAATTCTCTAAGCGTGTAATACTGAATAGGCACTCGTTAGAAAGCTTAGATTTAGGATCAAACATTGTTTGTATACATGGATATGGGTAATTCACGTAGGAGGAAGTTATTTCTACATTGTAAATGAATTTGAAGGGAAGCAGAAGGTTCTCTTTTTGAGAGAATGTGAGAGCTGGCAAACCTGTGGAATTTATCATGTGAAATACTTTACTTATTATATTTAAGTGGCTTGCAAAATCAATTTGAGACCACAATTATAAAGGAATCATATAGCTCACTGCCATGACTTACATTAAAAATTAAACCATACATACCCAAACTTTTATGAACTTTTAACCTTGACACCTCAAGATATAAGTACACTTTATCAACCCTGAAAGTGACTAGTATCTAATTTCTCCTTACACTATCACACATTTAGGTAACCAGAATAAACAATGTGATCACCTGCCAAAGAAGCTCTTGATTGTTAAACAAATTCTCCTTGTCAGCACCTTACGAAATGTGCTTAGAACAGTATGGAGAATATGCCTCCCGGTTAGCTCAATGGATAGAGCGCTGGACTGTTGTGCGGGAGGTCGAGGGTTTGAGGCCCGGCCAGACCGACACTCAAGGTCTTAAAATCATTGAGGAGAATATGCTACCTTTCTATAACATCAAGAAATGGTTAGATATTCTAGTCTTCTCGGATAGGGTCGAATAAATGGAGGTCCCGTCTCCTGCAGGGGTTAGGGGTAGGAGACGTTAATTTCCCAAGCACGAAATTACTGTGTGGTGGATGTTCTCCCCTGGGGTGGGATGGGTGGGTTAGGACAGCAGGTCCACATTAGCTATTACAGCTCTGCCAATTAATGAACCTGCTTAAACAAATAAATGAATTTATTACACAACTCGGGCAGTCAGAGGGCACTGTTCCAAATGGTCCTGAATGATACCGCACTTGTGTCTCTTTGAACTTCAGTCGTATAATAAATGTCTTATTAACCAAGCTTGCTTGGGACTGTACTGGAAGAATATCGGCCCTCAGTCTTTTTTGTATGGTTACTAAGATATATGTAATGTACAAACTGATGTGAGGGTGTTGAGGGTTAATTCTCCACACTGTTTGCTGCAGATACCTCATGACTTAAACTCAAAGAATTTTATTTTTCATCAAGCAATATTCCGATTTCTCTTCTTCTCATCACTTTTCGGAATGAAAGTGTCTTGACAATGTAAAGAGAATAACTGTTTTGATCATTTCTCAGAGTAAAACAGTTAGAGTGCCATTTAGTTTAGTAGAGCCTAATCTTGCTGCCCTGCTGCTTTGGTTAGTAAGACTCACTTTGTAATCTTGGGCTGATTTTCTGACAAGCCTTATATCTAAAACCATCATTCATTCCTGTGGACCTTTCTTAAACATATCAGTTTCTGATTTGAGCATCATGTATATTTTTGTCTTCATCGACATTAGGATTTACAGCATCCCAATGAGTATATCAGGGGATCTACTCTGAGATTTCTTTGCAAGTTAAAGGTGTGTGCAACTAATGGTGTGCATTGTTTATCTTTTTGTGTCATTGTTGTTGTTAAATATATATTTTAGGTCAAAACGTCTTCAAGCTATTTTGTTTTTGTCCTTCCTTTGGTTGTGAGCTTCGGTGTAACATGTGACATGTGCATGCATTAGATATGAAGGAAAGTTGGGAATCACTTTGATCTAAAATTTTTTTCTTAACCAATTTAATAAATAAACTTTATATCACCTTTTTGAACTCCCAAGGAAGCTGAGTTGTTGGAACCTCTCATGCCTGCCATCAGAAACTGCTTGGAACATCGTCACTCGTATGTGCGACGTAATGCTGTAATGGCAATTTACACAATCTACCGGTTAGCAGTTTGTATTTCTACAATATGTTTTTTTTATAGAGAATTATGTTGTGTATACTATCCATAACCTGGGCTCTATCCTCTTGAGAATTGAGAACCTCGATTATAAGAAACTGTCCATATAATTGTAGTCCAAGAGAGCAAAGTCGATAACATGTCTACAATTTCTTGTTCATGAAAAAAAAAAAGAAGAATACCTTAAGTTACACTTGCAGAATAGCATAATTTGTGTCCCAGAATATTAGCAAGGACTTGATAACTCGTGCTGTGTGAAAGTTTTATAGACATCAATGATGGAGTGCAACCATTCTCTCAAATTGTATAATAAACTATTTTTTTTTCTTCAATAGCAATTTTGACTTTCTGATCCCTGATGCCCCAGAGTTGGTACACACCTTTCTTGAGCAGGAGCAAGATGCATCCTGTAAACGTAGTGCCTTTATGATGCTTATCCATGTGGACCAGGTAATATTTGAAATTGGTATAATGTCAGAGCTGAGCAAAGAGTTTCTAGCAATCTGATTGGTTGAGCGGTTCCTTATATGACGCTATATAAACCACTCCACGCGGTTTATATAAAATGTTAAAATAAAAAGTTAATAAATGTTACTAAAATGTTATGATTTTAGAAATTTCTCTGTTGTTCCGCTCTGAAATTTATACTAAAACAATTATTCGCTCAGGTTCGGTGAAAATTGTCGAATAATCCCCTCGACTTCGTCTTGGGGATTATTCGATGATATTCACCTTGCCTTCGGCGAATAATTGTTAATTATAACTTTATCTGTTCAGTAGGTTACAAATAATTTTAAACATGTATATGTACGTTCATTTTGCAAATAGCATTGCTATGTGACTGGATCACTACACAACTGTTCATTGTACGTCTTAATGCCTTGTTTTTTAAGGAAGGTTGCACGAGGGAACTGCATGAATTGTACAAGTATTAAAAAGATTAAAGAGGTTTTCTGTCAATTTTTTTCAGTCCTGAGAGAACAGAGGGGAAGGGAAAAATTTTGTTCAAGAGTCTTTGAAACAAGATAACAGTTGACAAGTAATGAGATGTGAAATTTTAGAAAAGCAAATTGCAAGCTGACTTCCGGTTTCTTCCCTGATCAGCATATATAGTGTTTCCCAAATTTATTCAGAACCGCATCAAACAGAAAATGATAGCATATGTTTGTGATGATATGTGATGTAAATTGTATTATGCCTACTGTAGACGCTCATTTGCTGTTTTCTGTTTAGGAACGAGCTTTGGAATACCTGAGCACCTGTATAGATCAGGTTAACACTTTTGGTGATATACTACAGCTGGTGATAGTTGAACTGATTTACAAGGTATTCCTGTTATCTTTTTTGTACACATATGTACCAAACTGTCTTCTGTCTTCTTAAGAGGTTGTGTTACTGTATGAGATACAAAATTTCTCTTCAAGGGTTGAAAATATTTTTCCAACATGAGAAGAGAAATTTGGTGTCTCCAACCACCACGTAATATTCTATTTATTATAAAAACTCCAATGAAAATCCAAACCATTTCACTTATGCTATGAAAGGTGCAATTTATTGTGTAACAGTATTATTGTGGGGTGTGAAGATATCATGTTTTTGTGGGAAAGCTCACCTGGTATTTCATGGGTGTTTTTACAATAATAGTTTGTATTATGGTACATGTACCCTGTAATTTCTCATTGCATGACTATGGTGGATCACTATGACATTTCATTTTGTGTTGACTCAAATGTCACAATTGAACCTATGTAAATATACAGGTAAACATCCTTTCAGCATCTGCCTTAGTTAGGTTCCAGCCACATTTAAGTATTGTTCTTTTACAAATAACTTTGGATATAGTGGTTTTTTTTTGTGTTTGTTTTGTTTTTTTCCTGAAGATTCAGTCATTTTCTCTCAACATTTTGCATCCTTGGTAATACAGTAACTGTAATCTTTGTATCTGGTAACAAACTTACCAAATTCCACACATCAGCTCCAGGCAGAGTGTAAGACTGTCCCAGATTTTGTACCCAAAAAGTTAAATGTAAACACATGTACCTAGTTTCAGATCAAAAGGGATAAAAAAATCATGCCCTTCCTATGCCCATAGCCAACATACAAAGTTCTGTATAACACTGTAAATGAGATATTCGAAACACTGCAGCTGAATTTAAAGTTGAAAGTTTACACTAAACCCTTGTATTGATTTAAGTATTGCGTAATCTATATTTGAAGGTGTGCCATGCCAACCCAGCTGAGAGATCTCGCTTCATTCGATGCATCTACAATTTGTTGAATTCTTCATCACCGGCTGTGCGTTATGAAGCTGCTGGCACTTTGGTGACCCTATCATCTGCTCCCACAGCAGTAAAGGTACAGTCAGTCAGTCTGGCTAATTGATGTCACTCAATCATCAAATCTCTCTCTCTCTCTCTCTCTCTTTTTTTTTTTTTTTTTAATGTCACAGAATGTCATTGCTTGTTCGTTAATTTTCTGTCTGTGGCAGTAAACAGTCAATCCAGTTGAACACTCAACTTCATGAAGAGTATATTTACTCTTTTGCATATACATTAAAAGAATTTGAAAGAGAACAACCATAAAATGAATGATCTGAAAATGCAAAAACCATAAGGGAGTAATAGTACACACAAACTAAACTAGCAAGTGGAGGAATAGTTTTTAAATGTGATTTCCTCTTGACTGTTATCAGAATGACTGTGTGAATTTTTTAAAGGTACATATAGAACACTTTTTTTTAATGCAACACTATTTTGTTATTTCTCTTGTGATGACTGTTATCACTGCTTTTTATTTTTGCCCATCAGTCAGCAGCATCCTGTTACATTGAGCTGATTGTGAAGGAGAGTGACAACAACGTGAAGCTCATTGTGCTAGACAGGCTGGTTGCTTTAAAAGACAACCCTTCTCATGAGAAAGTCCTAAGGGTAAGTTTTAAAGTCTCTTTTCCCTATCTATTTATTGAGGAGCAGCAATAAGAGGTGATTGACAGATAACTTGTTCTTACGGTATGGTCTGTTTTTCTCATTTGTCTAAGTTTGACAAAGTTTTTATTTTGCTCTCTGACATATCATGATATTTATTTTAATATACATATATTTCTAAAACATAAACATTTTAAAGAAAATAAGAAACATTTCGTCTATTAAGAGCTAAAAATCTATTAATCCAATGCATCAAAGTTGATGAATTGTGTACAACAGCGTTTGATCTTTTAATTATTAGTGGATTTCTTTTATGAAGGTCAGTAAATTTATGTTCTAGGAATTGGTGATGGATATTCTTCGTGTACTGTCCTCTCCTGACCCTGAAGTCCGTAAGAAGACATTGCAGCTTGTGCTGGACCTGGTTACTTCAAGGAACATTCATGAGGTAGAGGATGTAAAAACATGCAGATTACTGATCTCTCAGGGTTTTTTTTTTTTTCCTTTCAGAAAGATGAGATTTAAGTTCTTTTTGTTTTCTGTAAGGGCTGAATACCTTACTTTTTGAGCTGACATGTAATAATCCTTTCTTCAGGTTGTAGCAGTTTTAAAGAAGGAGGTGACCAAAACACACAATGACAGTGAACATGAGGATGTTGGTGGATATCGGCAGGTATTTTCATAGAATTTTTATCGAATACTCTTCTTCACTTTCGCTCATTTTGCTCAGTCTGCAGTGACTGCAACCTCAATTGATATTGTCTTTTGTTATCTAAAGTTAGAAATTTGTCTTTGCGTAGATGCTTGTCCGCACTCTTCATACATGCAGTGTAAAGTTCCCTGATGTGGCTGTGTCTATTGTACCACTGGTAAGTAAATGGTATCGTTAGCGCTAAGCATACAGGGAGAGCATGGTTGGTAGAGTGATGTCAGCACTCACCTCACTCACAGGTTGAATTCCCAAACATACACTGTAGTGTTACATGTGAGTTTAGTTAAATGTTGGTTCTAGCCTTTTCCAGGCATTCATTTTTTAGACGGTATACCCGTCTTTCCCAAGGTTCAAGTCTCCCTCTCTCAATAGAAAGAAACATTGCAACTTCCAATTCAACTTGTTAAATCAAATTTACCTATTGACAAATATGTTTCCACTTGTTCTACTAACTGTAAAATGTCCAGTTGTTTGTGATGTATCTCTAATTTCGTGTACTTTGGCCAATGAGATACCGTGTACACATAGGCTACATTACATTTGCTGTTATATATTACTTCTCTCTCTCAGTAGATTCCTTAAACTTACAGATGTAAATGTAATTTTTTCCCCTTTAGCTGATGGAATTCTTGGGTGACAGTAATGAGCAAGCAGCCTTTGATGTGTTGGTGTTTGTTCGTGAGGCAGTGCAGCGATTTGAGCAATTGAAGCCTGTAATCATGGAGAAGTTGTTGGAAAATTTCCACACCATCAAGACTGTCAAGTAAGTTAGGTTTAGATTAACCTTCTGAAAGGTTGAATGATAAAACTGCCCAACTGGAAGACATGTCCTGAATATACAGTGTATGTTAATAGATCAGGTTTACAGACCAATTCAAACAACCACCACAAGAAACCTGACAAGTTGCTAATGGAGAGAAAGAGAGATATTATTGAACGATGAGCAATGTTTGTGGGTTTCTTTGTGCCAGTGGAACTACCAGCTATTTGGCTTGCACATGTATGTGGACATAGTGATTGTAACCATATCATGCTATTTGTTAGTTTTTTTTACATTTTTGGGGTTGATTTTTTCATTTGTATTATCTGTGACAGGATTCATCGCCATGCCTTGTGGATTATGGGTGAATATGCCAACAGCAAGCAGGATATTTTGGATGTTATGGAAGAGATCAAGAAGGGCCTCGGCGATGTATGCTAGTGTTTCTTTATAACTCATCAGCATGCTATTTTACTAATGAATGAAAAAAGGATGGGAGAATTGAAAAGAAGTGAAAGAAAATGGGGCTTTTTTTTTAAGATCGTAATGAATAGATCTTATGACTAGTGCAGGTTTAAATGATTGATTGGACATATTCTTGTCTGCCCTGTCAACAAGCGACAAATGCTGCGAATGTTTTTTTTAGGTTCCCATCGTGGATGATGAAATGAGAAGAGCTGCTGGAGATGTTACAGAAGGTACAAGCACCATTACTTGTAATTAGGGAATGTTGTTTTGGTCCACATGGAAGGTCATTCAATTTGGGTATGCAATAATTACAGTACGAGAGTTAAAGAAAGATTTATTTTTATCACTTGGAAATGCATTCAGTGATTTCTTCACATTCTTGCTGTTACAATTTACAATCTCTGTAGCCGTTGTTTGGACTCTACTCACAGGATGGTTTTTTTTAGCACTACCTGAAATGATTTATGCACTATGAAAATAATTATGCACTATGTAAATAATTATGCACTATGGAAATAATTATGCACTATGGAAATAATTGAACACTCAACTTCATGAAGAGTATATTTACTCTTTTGCATATACATTAAAAGAAT